TTTTGAGATGTCTCTTCCCTTTATATAAATCTATCGACCAACAAAATTGGCTAAGCAATGTTACAATTATTTCTACCTTGTCCTAAAAATAAATTTAAAGCGTGAGATCAATTTAAATTATATTCAACTGGCAAAAATTAAAAATTATTAAAAATCTGTATTCTTTCAACCCGTAATCATCCTTAATTAAAAAAAGAAAATAGATGTTTGAATTTAATGGCATTAGGTGGTTTGATGGAATGTAAAGACATTTCATAGTTTGAAGCAGTTGGTAGGTTTATTATATATTTTGATACAACGTAACTATATTTGTGATTTGAAGGAATATTATGACGATCGATGATTTGATGCGATGTAGAGATATTTTGTAATTTGAAACAACGTACTAAATTTTATTATTTTATAATATTATCATTATTGTATTTCTATTTAGAATTTTTAATTTGAATTATATTTAATAACGCACTAAATTGCTTAAATATGGCTCGAAATGTACCTATGTCGTGACTTAAATCATGTTCATTTTATAACTTCAACAAACTAAAAAGAATTGCTTTTATTTGTTCATTTTAACAAATTAATAGAAAATTATTTTTATTATTTTTCAAACTTGTTAAAGTATCAATAATTAAATTTAAAATTTTAAAATGTAGTTAATATGAGTTAATAGTGTATAAAAAAAACCCTTAATATATGATTTCTACGAAAAATGCAACATGGACTAGGTAAAGGAAACATTTATGAGTATTTCTGCGTAACAAAGTTTTTCTAGCGCGGGTGAATTTCATAAATGATCACATAATTGTATATATTCCTTTTGTTCCATTTTAATTTTTTAAAATTATTAGCTATGTTCATTTATGGTATATATTTTCTGTGTGGTTTTTAAATATACAAATTTTATTTTTTTAAGAAAAAATTAAGCAATTAATACCTAAATATAAGATCAAAGTGTTTTAACCTTTGTACGTCGAAAACTACACATAAATCGCTACAAAGTAAGTGTCTTTTTTCACGTAATTATATTTTATTACATAAAATCACAAGATTCTTCACACAATAGATAATAGAATTATTATTTTTACAACAACCAAAAATATAGTATTCTTCTGCACAGCTTAAATTTATATTCTATCAACACATCCCACATTTAACTCGTTTTTTATTTTTTTTATTTTGTCACGTAAACGATTGTCTTTTAACGTTGAAGACTTATCAAGTGTACCTTTGTATACTCACGGTCTTACAATAATAATGTCATATAAATCATAGAATCCATGTCACAATTTTTTTTATGTATTATTTAAAGCTTCGTGATTGGAGTACTTTGTTTTTTAGAAGTAAATTACGCATAATATAGATGATGGTTTTTGTTGTTTCAGCTAAGCGAAGATGATTCAATTTAACCAATAAAGTAGGTTACTTCTTCTTTGATTTAGGTCAAATATTTTTTTTTCACTGATCAAATTTTCTGTTAAAAAAAAGTGATGTAGGAACACATTATTTATCTAAGTGGTTATTATAATGAAAGAATTGTTTTGCGGTAATTAATAATCCTTTTGGATATAACAAACAAACTAATTTAAAAAGTTTATAATCTTTCAAAAACAATGTCACTTAAGTGTATATAAAAAATAAAAAAACTCCATATTTTGAAGCGCATTTTGTTAGATTACGAATCTTCATGATTGTGCCCTTCTTTGCTAGAAAGTTGGCTTATTGGTTCGGCTTTCTCCAAATGTATTTAATAAAAACATTGTTAATATTCGATAGATTTTATTTTTTTTTAACCCTCCCTAGGAGCTCCCACCCCTTTTGCTTCCTTGGTGACTCGAACTCGCAACCTTCGGGTTGGAAGAAGTGAGGGGTGCTTACCATCCGAGCAACTCCCTCTCGTCAATATTCGATAGATATATACAATCTTCAATAATAGCTCTAAGAAAACGATATTGTATGTCTTCATCCTGAATCTGTTTGATAACAAATAGACAATTTGTTTCCACCTCTAATTCTTGGTAGCCCATTGTTTTAGCTATGTTTAGCCCTTTGTTTATGCTAATTGAGATTTAATTATTTCTATACTCAAACCAAATCATCATGGGTGGGACTCGAGCAATACGTGTGATAAAGATTGCCCTCGTGTAATTAAACATTCTCTTTTAAATCCCTTTTTAATAGCTTTATGATTTCTTTATTAATGGTCGGTTTTCTTCTTCTAGAAAGCAAATATTGCACTAAGGATTAGTTTTATTCTACTAATTATAATTATTGATAGGATTAGATTATTTATCTACTAGCTACTTCTCTTCCATCTCACACTCAATTAATAGAGATCTTACTATTCCCATAATCTCAAGAAATTGAGTGCAATCTATTTTGGATTAAAGTAACAATATTATACTCTCTTTTTTAATTATTATTATATGCAAACTGGACTTTGATGGAGATCTACATTGATGAGGTTTCTTTTTAGGTTAACATGCCTTTTATTTTATTACAAATTATGAATCATTTTGGTGTTTTTTCTTTCACTTTGGTAGTCCCACATAAAAAAATTAATTGGGTTGGTAACTAATTGAAAAAAGTGGTGAAAAGCAATTAGCAGTTTTGATGATATGAACAAGGCTAAAATCCTGATTTATATTAGTTTAGAATTAGAATAAAGGAGATTATCTCCTTGTAAGGTTACAAGAAAATTATATTAAGTAAAATATTAAACATGGTAAGTATCATATATGGTAAATACAATTAAAAAAGATCCTATACTAATTAATATTATGTAATTAACTATATATGATAGGTAGAGATTGTAATTGATGTAATTAACATTTTTAAACTTGCGATGTTTTGTTGGTGAAAGATTTATTAGAATAAATTTTTGGAATGATATTTTCGAGCCATTTTTTTTATTTTCATTGCAAAATAAAAAATTGAAACATAGTTATACTCGCTATTGAAATTAAACTATGGAACTTCTTGCCAATGCATGTTCCACCTTCTAATAAAAAATAATAATCTGATTAAATGTAGAGTTTAAGTTACATTCACATTCAAGTATGAAATATTTTTACACCATCAAATTATCAAAAAAAAAATTATTGATAATTTTTCATTTAATTTTATAAACCTGAGCATAAAAAAGTACTTACCGATATTATATACATCATACATACTATACAAATATGAATTTTAAGTGTGTGACTCACCACCATGTGTCTTTGATAAGGTTTACCCCGCCCCTAACTCCAAACCGTTGGATTAAACTCCATTTTTAGAATTTACGAAGAAATTATTAACTCTAACTATCAAATGCTATTTTTATAATTTATCACAAAATTATATGATTTGATGCTTGCATCGAATTCTAAGTCTTTTTTTCTATTCGAATATTCTAGTATGAACCAAAACATTACCTTAAAATCGCTCTCACCCTCCTTAATTATCATGGAGTCTCACACTCTCAATTACCCTAATCCGTGGTGGTAAATGATTCAATGCTCTCACCCTCCTTATCATGAAGTCTCACACTATCAATTACCCTAATCCGTGGTGGTAAATGATTCAATAATATGATTTCATCTGTATTTGTTATCTTTCACCAGAAATAACTTTTGCCTACAAAGGTAAACACATGAAAAGTGAATATATCCACTTGGCTTTCCAAATTTATATACATAATCCTATTAGCATATTATATTCAAGATTGAAATGATGATAGCTTCACGGATGTTCCATACATTTCATTGGCCTACAATGCAAAGACAAAATAATCCCACAAATATAAGAACCATATCTCTGAATCTAACCCTACTGCTGGCCTCAGTTCATAAAAGCAATAAATGTATGTTTTTAAAGGTAACAAAAGAATCCATATTTTTATTGCAATTATCTCATTTTGATTCTCTGGCCTGTTAAAAAGGATCCTAAGATCAGAAAAAAAAAGAATTTAATCCAAGTCATCCATTAAAAAGTAAAGATCAGCATAAACAAATTGATTTTATCTAGTACAAAATTTTAATTTTACTTTTTTTTGGGGCAAATCTACAAACACAAATCGAATGAATGATTATTTGTTTGTCCATTTGTTGGGTACTTAGGCATCAAATGCTATATGTATTTGCAGCAAAAAGAAGATTTCTTTTTTTGTGTTTTCTTTAGTGCACATGACTACTAGCTAGGCCCCCTTTTAATAGGTCCCAAACACTAAAAAAACAAGTCATACTTAACTTTTTTTCCCCTTTGATATACAAAAAACATGCATTTTCTTGAAACTTAAACGTATCTTGTGGACCACGGACGGAACTAGAAGGGTCAAGCCTTCGACGAAAAATTACACCATATATACATAAAGACAATATATATATTTATATAAATAAATATATTTCTAACTTTCTATTGTTGGAAAAATAAGATTTCCAAACATCTATGAAAGGAAACTAATCAAACTAAATCAAGGAAATCAATTAAGAATCTGCTCCTATATATAATTAAGTTAACTATATATGGAAGATACAATATTTTCTGTAACGCTTATATATATATATAATCCCTTTTTAATCTAGCCTTTTAATGTGTTTTTACTTTTTATATTTCGAACTCACTTAATGAAAAGTCTGGCTCTGCCGCTGTTGTGGACTCATTAGATGCCATACATACCTTGTGCAGTGTCCTTTTTTATTCAATCTAAATAAGGATACGCAATGTGTGCCTTTCAACAACAAACGGGTATTCCACTAGTAAGTAACCAAAGGTATTGACCAAGTAAGATAGAAATTAATTAACCCAATACATGGAAAACTTATCCTTAAATCATAAATGCTAAAATAATATGTTTGATGAAAAAAGTGAAAAAAGGATCTGTTAAGAAAAGTTCAAAGATTGAGGAAATCTTTCTTTTCTTATGACTTTTTCTATTCAACTTGTCATATGTATATGTGATGGCTGGCTTTATATATAGACTATAGTCTTATATTATATTACACTACTAAACTAAAGATACCCAAACAAAAGGGAACTAGAAAGAAAAAAATCCTTCAAATTCTTCCACTTAAAAGTAGCTAGTCTTCATACGGTTTCTTTACCACTCAATATAAGTTGACTCTACCACTCATATAATCTTTAAATTTCCTCCTCAATTCTTCTTTCTTCACAACCAAAAAAAAAAAGAGATCTTTCTTCCATTTTTTTATAAAAAAAAAATTATTGAAGAGATGACATGCCAGAACTTAGTATTAACTCGAAAAACGAACATTTTGTTCGTAAGAAGCTTTACAATTTTGGTACTAATATGGATAGTTATGAAGCCAGAAGTTTGTTTCTCTAGTGTCCTGTCTTCATTGAAGGCTCTTCATCTACAAGGCTATATAACTTTTGAAAACAATGAATTTGCATCCCGAGATTTCGGGAATCAAATTCATTCACATCCTTTGGCAGTAGTACATCCGAAATCTGTTACTGACATTTCAGAGATAGTAACACATGTCTGGCAAATGGGCCCGGCCTCAGAACTGACCGTGGCAGCAAGAGGCCACGGTCATTCTCTTCAAGGCCAGGCCCAAGCGCGTGGAGGAGTTATAATCAATATGGAATCATTACGGCAGGATCAAGAAATGCAAGTTTACTACAGAGGAGTACAATTCCCTTATGTTGATGTCTCAGCTGGTGAATTGTGGATAAACATATTGCATGAGACATTGAAATATGGATTAGCACCAAAATCTTGGACTGATTATCTACATCTTACTGTTGGAGGTACTCTGTCTAATGCTGGAATCAGTGGACAGGCATTTCGTCACGGCCCTCAAATCAGTAATGTCCGCCAGCTGGAAGTTGTAACAGGTATGAATTTTTTTTCCGAAACTAATTGATTTTCAGTAGGACTAGCACAAGATTCTTTTTTGTCTGATATGATATAGTAGTTAGTTATTGAAGACAATTCTTCAATAGTACAAGTTGGGAATCTGACTATTACTTTCAACAAATATCAAAATTTCAGCACGTGACCTAATTCGACATATCATGAATTGGATTCATTGCAGGTAAAGGAGAAGTCCTAATTTGTTCACAAGAACAGAATGCTGACCTCTTTCATGCTGTTCTTGGAGGACTTGGTCAGTTTGGCATAATAACTAGAGCAAGAATCTCACTCGAAAGAGCCCCGAAAATGGTAAAGAGCAGATACCATAGAATATCAAGATATTCATGTTTTCGAGTTTTATTGAACATGTGTTTCTTCATTTATTCAACAGGTGAAATGGATAAGAGTGTTGTACTCTGATTTCTCCACATTTGCTAGAGATCAAGAGCGTTTGATATCTGCATCGAAAACATTTGATTACATAGAAGGCCTTGTGATTAAGAACAAAACAGGTCTACTGAATAACTGGAGAACATCTTTTGACCCTCAAGATCCTGTTCAAGCAAGCCACTTTGTATCAGATGGAAGAACACTCTATTGCCTTGAACTAACCAAAAATTTATACCCCGAAAAATTCGATACAGTAAATCAGGTAAGACATGTTCATAACTTGAAACAGGGCTAATTTTTTGATGAAACAATTCTCATATAAATGCTTGTTGTTTTCATACAGGAAATTGAGGACTTATTATCCCAACTAAGTTATATTCCATCAACACTTTTCATGTCAGAAGTTCCATACATAGATTTTTTGGACAGAGTTCATGCATCAGAGCTAATACTTCGATCGAAAGGACTTTGGGATCTTCCACATCCATGGCTAAACCTTCTAGTCCCTAAAAGCAAAATACAACACTTTGCTAATGAAGTTTTTGGCAACATACTAAGTGATACCAACAATGGACCTGTTCTTGTCTATCCAATTCATAAATCAAAGTAATTTTCCATTTTACATAACGTTCCGCGTGTACATAAGAAATCTACTACTTCTTGTACAATCAATTGACATGCTTTACTTTTTTTATTTTTTCAGGGTGGATAACAGGACTTCATTTGTTTGTCCAGATGAAGATATTATCTATCTTGTGGCCTTTTTATCCCATGCAAATCCTTCATCTAATGGAACTGACAGTTTACAACATGTTTTAACTCAGAACAAAAGAATTTTAGACTTCTGTGAGGTGTCACACCTTGGAGTCAAGCAATATTTACCTCATTACACAACACAGGAACAATGGAGGACACACTTTGGTCCAAAATGGGAAGTTTTTGTACAGAGGAAGTCTGTTTATGACCCTTTAGCTATGCTTGCTCCTGGACAGAATATTTTCCAAAAATCAGTATCAGTTTCATAACAAATGTTGTTATTTGAAACTGATAGCAACGGCTAATTCTACGTTAGGTAAATATGCAGCACGATCGAATAGAAAATGAATACTACTTGGTTGTAGCCAATGTAAAATGTGAATAATAGCTATTAACTTCATATATTTCTTATGCCTTTTCTGCACATGTAAGTTTAAGAGAAGGCTAGCTAGATTCAGTAGCACTTCAAGATATATAGATTATTAGGCAAAAAGAAGTAATGTATCAAGATGCAAAAGGAAAAAAATATTGACTCAAATGTATGAATTCTTTAATTAATACTCATGGTATTGTATCTCCTGTCTTTATTTTCAAGTGATCTGATACTATAAGAATGTAATTTATGCAGCAAAATCAAGAAGACAATTCAATAACCGCGAAAATCAAGCATTCATTAGCACTATAACACATTTCAAACAGGACTTTAATCTGCATGATTTCATTATACGGCAATAACTTGAGAAGCACAATCACGAGATGACACAACGATGCTTATGATAACGTTATAAGTTAATAAGAAGAGATAGTAATTTCTCTGAATTATTACGTCTACATTGCAGAGCAATAACATCATATCTATTGAACTAATTAACATCATTTGTTTGTTTTTGATTTTTAGTTAATTTGTTGGCTGGCTGATGTCAAGTGGAAGATAATAACATCGCGGACAAGGGGAAGATTGAACTTCAAAGGCTGAAAGTAATTGCTTCAGACCATGCTCATCATATGGACAACACAAGTTCAGTAGGTTGAGTCATATCCGAAAACAATAACAAAGGAAGATGGATAAAACTCTGTTATCCTTTCTACAACAAAGAGGACCAATATCGATAAACATTTCTTTTTCTTTTTCTAAATAATCTGAGAATAATTTACGCGATCAACGTAGATGATGATACTTTATAGTATTACACAGTTGAAATCTTAGATCAATCAAACATAACAAGAATGGAAGAGATGAAATAGCATGCACTAGAACTTGAAACATAAATAGATGAAGCATCTATAATCATTTTGAAAGCTTGATTAGTGTATAACCACAGGAAAGCAAGAGAAGAAAATCACAAATCTATGATGTTATTGTCCCAAAAGAGCCATAAACTTAAACTTAGGCATTTGAATATGCGATTTCATCTTGTGAGATAAAATCAATATTTGGACATGCAATTTTATCTCATGATTTGATGGAATCTCAAATTCTCCAAAAAACTTGATTTGAGAACCTCGATTTCACATTTTTCAAATACAAAAATTGTCCCACTAGTTAATATTTATTTTATATCTACCAACTACCAAGCATTTGTTTCATACAAACAAATTTTATAGTTGTTATTATTCCTGTAACCAACCTATAAACTATTATTGATGAACATGACTTCAATAAAAAGTAAGAGTAGTACGCTACAATTCTTGTTAAATTTTACTTTGTTTTTGAACTAAAGTTCGATCAATAAATGTTGTATTTTTTCAAATAGCTTTGTAATATTATAGTATATTTTTGTTATGAACATTTACTTATTTGGTAAGATTGTATAAAGAATTGGTACAATTTTGATAGTTTTCACAACTTATGAGTTATTCTGTATTTATGAGCAAACAATACAACCTAAAAATTCAATTATATGTCCAAACAAAACTTCGACTTCAAATAAAATGGTCAAACTAGCCTCAAGTATTGTAACCATGTTGACATTTAATTATCTCAAATAGTTTCATAATAATGCAAGGTTCTGTTTACGAACAGTAATATTCCCCTTGTTCAACTAAAAAGGAATGGTTATAATAAAGCATAAAGACTTTTCTTCTGATCAGAACCACCAAAGCTTTAACTGATTTTTCAAAAATTAGTTAGAAATTAGAATCTTCTGAAATAAGATTACAATCTTTGTTGTATAATACTCAAAGTATATAAAAAATTCTTAGGGTCAATGAAGCCAGAGTTTGATTTATATATGATAACAACAACAACCACACCTCAATATCAAACAAGATGGGATACTCACACTTATCAATCCTCATTGACAAGGCATTAAGTTGCTAGTTCTTCGTAAGGGGTTCAATTGGATCCCCTTAGGTGAACGATACAAACAAGAAAAAAATGAACCTTTTTGACTATATATATAGACGGTTGATTTTTCTTAATCTAAATAAATTGAGACCGACCATATGAAGCCTTTACTGACTAGGCTTTGGTTTATGAAGGGCGAAAATGATCACTTTGGGAGGTAAGGTGGCTATATCACCTAAGGATCTCAATATATTTTCAATCTGATCAAATTCGATCCAATCCACCCATTTGGTGGCACTAGACTGATTATCTAACATTACAATCCGTATATGCAATGATGATAAGCAGATAGTAGTTCCATTCCTCGGGAATATTCCATCCAGATCCAGTGTATACCCTGTTAAATAATACTCTAATAAAATCAGATATTCGCAAATTGGGCGCCATCCAAAAAACAGTGTTGACTAGTATATAGTGATGAACATGATTGAACAAATTCAATGGTTATAAAAATGAACTCTTAATACCATATAATGTTATTGGATAAGATTAAAAACGACCATATAACTAAATTCTAACTTGTTTGGAATTGAAATTTAAGGTTGTGTTTGATACGAAGGAAAATGTTTTACCTAAAATAAGTGAATTCTTTACTTATTTTTTAGTGTTTGATAAATAACTAAAAAAGAAACATCTCAAGAGCATTTATATCACTATTAGAAACATACGTTTTTCGTCATAATTAATGAAAAACTTATGCTATAAAACGTAATTTTCTAAAGCACAGGAAAAATGCATGATGCTGAAATACTGAAAAGCTTCCTAATTTTTCTGTATGAAAACACTATGTATTATTTTTTTTTTTCTTAATTTTTCTATCAAAATATCTATAGAAATATAATTAACCACTAAACATTTTTCAATGAAAAGTTTCAATGGGAGAATAATGAATGTTTAGTAGTGTATGTAAGCTAGCAAAATATTATAAGGGTGAGGAGTGGGGGTGGCATGATCAAGATATATATGGGGGTTGGGGGACGTTAATGGATATAGAGGAGACCATAAGATTACCTATCAAACTTGTTTTCTCTACTTCTATTAGAAAGAAAAAAAAATTGTTTATGAAAATATTCTTACCAACCAAACAGAGAAAAATGTTTTCCTCCATACCAAACAGGGGCGGAGCCGGCATGTTTTGAAGAGGTTCATCTGAATCCCCTTCTATTACTCTCTCTATATATATATATATATAATTAATATTATTTTTTAGGTATATATAATAGATGTTGAACCCCTTTGACTAGTTTGTGTGTTTACTTCTTCAGATTTTGAACCCCTATTGAAAATCTTGATTCCGTCACTGACACCAAATACATATTCCTTAGTAGTTGTTGTTGATAATGTGAAGGTTCCTTCAAAATCAGAAGATACGATCTTTCCATGGATTTGTGGTATGGAATGAGAAGATACGATATTTGCATGAATAGGCCGGTGGCATGAAAGGATGAGAAGATACGATAATTCCATGGATTTGTGGTATGGAATGAGAAGATACGATATTTGCATGAATGGGCCGGTGGCATGAAAGGTAGCCATTGAAATGCATGTGAAGAAGTTTGAAAAAGTGTACAACTTTAAACCAGAATTTAGACTGCCCCAAAAAGGAAATACAAGAAGGAATATTTGAACGGACACCATCATGACAAAACTGACTATTACAATTTACATCCAATCAAGATTCCAATCAATATTAGTGACAGCAGATCTAAGATTTTTATCAACTGAGTTCAAAAACCTAAAATTTGAACTTGAAACTTTAAAAGAAATTTTAAACCTTCGAAATCACTAAACCAACTTCTAATCTTATTTTCATGAAATTCAAAATCTATATACATACATTTAAAAAAAGTTCTTATAGTGTAATGTTTACTGAGAGGGTTCGGGTGATCATCCTTACCCTCCTAGATTCGCCCCTGATGACTACCAAGTTCCAATTACTCCCAATGATCATGGCGGAGCTACATGAATGCAATGTATTGGGTAACACCAATATTTTGCCTATGACAAGGCCCACAAGGGACTAGAGTGGCATGAATTAGAGTTATGATCGAACATGACGTTTGCTTAGTGGACTTAGTTAAGAAATAAAATTACGTCTTTGCTATTAGCTATAACTTTTGACATGATGATAAGTGTTTGATCCTAACAAGTCGTATCAAAGTCAAGGTCATGAGTTTGATTCCCTAGAGCAACTTGCATGAGGTATGTGTTGGGTAACACCAACATCCTACCTTGGCCACTTGACCCTAACATAATGTAATAAAGAAAGTTTAGCTAAACTTCTTCATTGAAAAATTATATTGCATTATATATAATGTAATAAAGAAAGTTTAGCTAATCTTCTTCATTGAAAAATTATATTGCATTATATATAATGTAATAAAGAAAGTTGGGATAAGGGTCTGAAAAATCCCCTAACTTTGGTCGGATTTGCTGTTGCGATACTAAACTTTCATAAGGACCTATTACCTCCCTAGACTATTTAATACCATATTTTTACCCCCTGAACTATTTAATAGTGTATTTTAAAGGTATATATGTGCCCACGTGGACACACTACTATTTCTAATTTTGCATTATTTTTTATGTCCATGTGGGGAAAATATATATGTTTAAAATACGGTATTAAATAGTCTAGGGAGGTAATAGGTCCTTATGAAAGTTTAGTATCGCAACAGCAAATCCGACCCAAAAGTTGGGGTATTTTTCAGACCATTATCCCAAAGAAAGTTTAGCTAAACGTCTTCATCGAAAAAATTATATTGAAATATATGTGTAGAAAAAAATATTTGTGTGCATAAAATAAGATAATACTTATAATTGAGTCACAAAGGTTGTTTAAAATAAATTTATTTTAAGTCGTAAGGTAATTCTTTCTACTTGAGGAATATTTTCAAAATGAAAATGGGGCAGTAATAGAGACGAATTCATAATTTAAATTTAATGGAATCAATCAAAATAAATTATAAATTATTAATAATAACAATAACATATCCAAGGTAAAAGAATTATTATTTTTCTTGTTCATTGGCACAAAAAAATTCTTAGCATTGAATTTGTTATACTTCTAATTATTATGGATTCATCTCCAATACTAGTTGGAATTTTAATAAATTTTTACATATAAATTTATGTTTCGAATTGGAAATATTAATTCAAATGAACCCCGTGCCAAAGTGTTGTATCTGCCCTAGCCCCTAGGTATAAATGCAGAGCTTCAATGTCAATTGATGAGAATAGTACGATTGTACGAATAGATATACCAAATACTACAGTATATATACCTCAGGAATAGTTTTGTCTAGGGCTATCGTTTAGTTAGAGTACAAGTTATTCCGCTATTAGTTTTTATGAGACTAGTTATTCTAGGATTGTTATCCCACTTTTAATGTGAGATAAAAATAATACTACAATCTCAGGATGATTAATTTTGAGATAAGTTATCCCATAATTTATCTCAATCAAACATGGTATATAAATTCAACCTAAAATTAATCTAGAGATTAGTGTTTCATATTATCCCTTGTACCAAATGAGTCCTTAACACTTCTAGTCATATATATCAGGGTGCCTAGGGATGAATTTGCTCGGAAATTATGGAGCATGTGAATTTATGATCTCTTCGCCAATCTAAGTGTTTTATTTACATATTTTTCTAGAATTGATCTAATATTATTTGTTGTCATCATGCAACAAAGGAATTGAATGATGTACTTGATTTAATGTGAAATCTTTTAAGTGGTGCGCTTATACTTTAGAAATTCTAGATTCGTCTTTGTGCCAATGAGTACAAGAAAAACAAAGGCATGGTATATGCCAGTTAGTAGGGGTGTGCATTCGATTTTTCGGTTTGGTTTTTCACTATTCAGTTTGGAGTTTTCGGTTTTTGGTTTTGTAAAAGTGTAACCCAATCCGATCCAAAATAAATTTGATTTGGTTTGGTTTTCCTCTATTCGGTTTGGTTTTTTTCGGTTTGGTTATTCGGTTATGTCAATAATTAATAACATAACCAAAGTAATAATATTGAATCTCATAAATGTACTTTATAAT